TCTTTTTTGGAACATACATGGCCAGCTGTTCAGGTGAGATTTCATTCCTCTTTCTTCGGTAGTCTCAGCCTGCACTTCTTTCAGAAGTTGATGTCGGATGCTGTACTGGAATGGGACCAAGATGGTGACGGAATGATCGAGAATTTTGGAAAAGCTGATCAAACTTATGATGCTTGGAGAATGGAAGGTGTGAGGTACGCAATTTAAATGTTATATTTTTGTTTGCTTTGACTTTTCTTGAATTTTTTTTTACATCTTAACGAGGACATGGCTTTTTCCAGCGCCTATTGCGGATCGCTCTGGCTGGCTTCACTTCGGGTTGCTGCTGAAATGGCTAGAATTCTAGGCTATGAAGAATGTGAGAAGCAGTATTTGCAAATACTGGAAAGTGCTAGAAAGGTTTGTGATTGCTTGAGTATTAGCTGAGGCCTTCATATGGTTTTATAGCTTTCTTTTACTGGTTTTACCAGTTTGAGATTGTGATCGTATGGATTATAGGTATTTATTGAACGTTTATGGACTGGTTCATACTTTCGATTCTGTGAAAGATCGCGCAGTCGTGAATCTATCATGGCTGATCAGCTCTGTGGCATATGGTTCTTGCAGTCGGTGTCACCTCAACTAGCCGCTGAGGTGAGCCATTCAGGCATAATCAGTCTGGAATTTTTGCATATATGTTTTTAGGTTCTTCCACAGAGTATGGTTCGTCAAGCTTTGAACACCATTTACGGTTATAATGTCTGTCGTTTTGCTGGTGGAAAGATGGGTGCAGTGAATGGAATGCGACCTGACGGAGTTGTTGATAGGGAGTATATACAGGTAAATTGCTTTGTTCCTTGTTTTCTTTTTCTTAGGCCCGTGTGCACGTACATCCGCGCTGGGGAGGGGAGGTGATCTGAGAGGAGATGCGATATATCCCGCTAGTCTATGTATCTTTCTTCTTCCTTCTCTATCTTACTTACGAAGGTTCTCATACTCTTATACCTGCGCATAAGGATGCCAGGTTACTGCCATACAAGACTGGTTTTTTGCCA